TCTTTAACAATCTAGTAACTTTATTAATGAACAGTTGATAAAGTGAAAACAGCAGCAGCTCATAAGCTCCCCCACTGTGTTTAGAAATACAGGTTTTAATTTTTTAAAGAATCAATAGTACCTTCTCAATTTTATTGATTGATTGATTGATTTTCAGTTCCGGGGATTGAACTCAGGAGCACTCAGCCACTGAGCCACATCCCCCGCCCTATTTTGTATTTAGAGACAGAGTCTCATTGATTTGCTTAGTACCTTCTCATTGCTGAGGCTGGCTTTGAACTCACCATCCTCCTGCTTCAGCCTCCCGAACCATCCCCGGACTCAATTTTATTTTGATTAAATGGAATAATGGGCATCTTATCAGGCATCAGTTTATGTATAGATTTGTCTAATAGGTCATGATATCCCAATTTGCTCTAAGTTCTCATTCTCTTCAAAATTGCTGTAAATTGTTTTCACCCTAACTCTTCTCTGAATTTGCTCTAAATGATTTTTCCTAACTATTTTGCTCCCTTATTATTGTTTGCTTTTTCTCTCACTAAAATGGTCAGTTTTGTCAGAACAGAGACCTGTTCACCTGTCTTGTTGACCATTATCTCATCAGTTCTTGGGACAGGGCTGATACAGAGAAAGTACTCAATAAGAATCAGCTACATGCTGCACAGATGATAGCTAGCATAGTGCCTTGCAAGTTAAGTATCCAACAGCTATTTTGTTGAGCAAATAAATGAAATAAATATATGGATATACAGAGTTACAAACATCATTAAGCTGTAAAAAGTGTGGGAGTCTTATATATTGATGTGATGGAAAGTAATTGAGAGGATCCTTTAGATTGAGAATGCAGAGAAGACTCTCTAAGGAGGTGACTGTGTGTGTGTGTGTGTGTGTGCGCACACGCACGCACGCCCCCATGCATGGACACACACACATACACACATACCTGCTAGGCAAGCACTCTACCACTGATCTACACTCCCATCCCCAAGAGATGACATTTCAGTACTAGCCAGCACTCTGTAATGGACTAGGTAATTACTATTCAAAGAGCTTTAAGGTAGAGGAACAGGAAAAAAAAAAAACATTTTTTTTTAAATCAGTAGGGAATGAGGTTACAGAGATGAAGGTAGGATACTGCAGGGCCTTGTAGACTATGGTGGGGGATTTGGGGAGAGAAACAACGATTCAACCTACTTTTCTATAGGCTACTACACCTGAACTTGCCCCTTTTCTACTTTGACTGCATGTCGCACCATCTCCCTTCTGTCACTCCAGCCAGCCTGGCAGAGTGCAGTTCCTTTCACTTCTCAAACACATTCTTTCCTCAGGGTTTTTGATTTTTCATCTAATCCTGTTTTTAAAAATCTATTCATTCATTGATGCTGCTTTTACTATTTCCCATACTGGTCATAACATATCATACAGTTATCTGTTCATTTGTTTATCTGTTTGCCCCACCAGAATATACAAGATCAGGGTTTTTGTTGAATTTCATGTTATATCCTCAGCTTCCCCAAACTGCCTGACAGATAGTAGACACTCAATAAATAGTTAAATAAGTAAAAAGTTGACTAGTGCTGTTTCAGGACTGGGTGAGAGGAAACAAGGCAATAGGATGTCAGAGGTGGGCATGTTTCAGAGCTTACAAGGCTTTACAGTGGGGTTAGCTAGGAGTTGAGGTTTTGTTAAAATTGGGATGAAAAACCATGGAGGGGATGGGAAGGACTAAACAGGGAAGGACATAATCTGATTCACATTGGTCAGTATTTGGGGATAAATTGTAGTGAAGATACAAGATTTAATTCCATTTTTTCTATGCCACTTGGAATAGGCAGGTTGCCCATATTCTTGCTTTTGTATCTGCAGGACAGCTGAGGGTGACTGGTCTAGACTTGATTCACTTGGGTGTTTTTGATTCACCCTGTAACCAGCTGGGGTTGGATTTTTCCTGTGGGCTGAGCAGGTCTTCTCCACATCTTTTTTGTTTGTCTTTTTTTTTTTTTTTCTGGGTGGGATTCAGGCTGAAGGAACAGCAGCTGCTCAGGGAATTACAGAGTTACAAGAGAGTAAATCTAACCAAACATCACCTCTGCTGTCTTCTTATTGGCCACAAAGTCACTTCCAACTTGATGTCAGGAGATGCAAACAATCACCTGAGATTATGGACTTCCTTTTATGGCTTATTTCATCTTCAGTTTTGGAGGTTACAGTCTATGATCAATGGATCACGTTGCTTTGGGCCTGTGTTGAAGCAGCACATCATGGCAGGAGCATGGGGTGGAGCAGAACTGCTCACCTAATCATAAGAAAGGGAATTGGGGTTGGGGGGGTAACAAGGAGAAGTAGTCTGAGGATCACAGTCATTTTTATAAGGCATGCCTTCAATTACCCAAACAACTTCCACTAAGCCCTACTTTTCTCTCTCTCACCCAGTTTTTCTTTCTTTTTCTTTTTTGGGGTGTCTGTGTGTGTATGTTCTTTTATTAGTGCATTACAATTATACATAATAGTTGGTTTCATTTTGACAAAATCTTACATGCATGGAATTTAATTTTCTCCACTGTAGTCCCTGGTGACCCCTTTTTCCTCCCCTCCTCCCACCCCCTTTCTTTCCTCTACTCTGTCTTCCTTTTACTCATTTATTTATTCTTTTTAATTGGTGCTTTATAGATATAGATAAAGGTGGAATTTACTGTAGTATATTTATGTGTGCACATAGCATAACTATGTTAAATCATTCAACATTTCCTCCCCTTTCCCTCCTGCCCTCTCAATCTCCTTTTTCTTCCCCACTGACCTTCCCTGTATCTTTGTGATGTCTGACTCCCTGTTTTTTTTTTCCCCCTTACTTTGTCCTAGCTTTCACATATGAAAAGATTCAACCCTTGACTTCTGAGTCTGGCTTATTTCACTTAGTATGATACTCTCCAGTTCTCTCCATTTACCAGAAAATGCTATAATTTTATTCTTGATAACTGAGTAAAACTCCATTGTGTATGAATACATTTTCCTAACCCATTCATCAATATGATGGAACCACTTAGGCTGGTTCCATAGCTTAGCCATTATGAATTGTGCTACTATAAACACTGATGTGGCTATATCACTACAGTATGCTGATTTAAATTCTTTTGGATAAATATTGAGGAGTGAAATAAATGTGTCATAAGGTGATTTCCTTTCTAGATTTTCAGGAATCTCCATACAACTTTCCAGAATGGTAGTGCTAATTGGTGTTGTCCTACCAACAGAGTGTCCCTTTTGCTCCACATCCTCACCAGCATTTATTATTATTTGTATTCTTGATAATTTAGGTCCCACTTCTTAAAGGTTCCACCACCTCCTAATACCTCCACTTTTGAGACCAAACCTTTAACAATGGGCCTGTGCGGGACACTTGACATCCCAACTATACCAAAGGAAGAAGAGTCTGCCCACAAGGGACAGGAAAAGGGAGTGAATGCCAGCTGAATAATCAAACTATCACAGATGAATAGAGGATGATATGATGATTTCCTCAAACTCTACATATCTTGCAGTAATTAAAAATGTAGTTTTAGGGGCTGGGGTTGTGGTTCAGTGGCAGAGTACTGCCTAGCATGTGTGAGGCACTGGGTTCGATCCTTAGCACCACATAAAAATAAAGAAATAAAATAAAGGTATGTTATCCATCTACAAATACAAAAAAATTTAAATGTAGTTTGATGCAATCATAGACATCCTAGAAACCAAATTTCGGTTTCTTTAAAATATCTTCTAGCTATCAGTGCATATAAGTTGAGAATTGGTCCATCAGCAACATGTTTGAGTCAAAGAGATTGTAAACAACTCTGGGAGCAAAGATACATTATGTTCAAACTACAAAATTATGAAGATGTCTGTAGAAATATTGTATCAAACTGCTTAAGAGGCTCTTAAGGTGGGGAAAGATATAGTCCTATAGAATATCTAACTTTATTTTCAAAATTTAAAGGCATGTGTATAACCTATTACACCTGCTCATAGAAGGTACATATTAATTTGTGCCGTATGAAATGCTATTTTGTAGGATCAAAAACTTATCAATTTTTTGATTCAACATCACACGAGAGTATTAGCAAGACTCTTTGTAAAAGCAGAACATCATAAATTACCTAAATGTCCACCAATTAGAAAATAGAAAAATTATTTGTGGGTTAATCATACTATAGAAGTCTATAAAATAGTGGGAGAAAAAAGAAACTTTGCAGCCACAAGTATCAACAATGACGAACCCCCAAAGAAGCAAGTCACCAGATAATACATTCTACACAATTTCATTTTTATAAGGTACAAAAAGAGGTAAAAACTAAACTATTTTGATGTATTAAATAGAAAAAATCATTTTAAAAGCAAAAGAATGTTTAAGAGAAAATCAGGATAGTTGTTACCTCTGAGGGGTAATGTTTTAATTCTTAAATTGTATGGTTGATGTACTTGGTGTTATTGAATTGTTTTTATTTATAACTGACACATATTTCTTTACTATTTATTATCCAGTAGTTTCAAGTGGAGAGATTATTCACTGACATTGAAGAATCCAATAAGTATAAAAATTAAGGTAGTGATAAATCTTATACTTGTTAGTCTGAAAAGTACACCTATAGCCATTTATTTGACTGATTCACTCCCAACTTTCAAAAGAACAGATTGAAAAAAACAAAGAGACTCCTATACAACTATATAGAAGACTATATTTTCTTTAAAAATGGTTATTTACAAACAGAACACATCAAAGAGTCTTCATTAGCGTAAAAAGTTTCATTCCGAAATATCTATCTCGAGATGATAGAGGAAAAATCAAAACATAATCATCTAAATTTATCCAAAAAAGTTCTTAAATCCAATTTAAAATGTAATTATCAGGCTGTTTACAAGAAATGAAATTAACAGGAGATGTAGCTCAGTAGTAGAGCACTTTCTTAGAATGTGCAAAGCACTGGATTTGGTTCCCAGCATATTTTAAAAACAAATCTTAATCCATGGCGATGTACACCTGTAATCTCAGCTACTCAGAAGAATCGGGTAGGACGATTGCTGGTTCAATGCCAGCCTGGGAAATTCATGCTACTTCTGAAGGAAATAGTCTACCATAGCATCATCCTGGGCAGGGTTGGAGTGTGTCCCAGCTCCAAGGGCCTGATTTGCAGCGGGTTGTGGCTGAGCTTGTAACCCTGTTCCAAATGTCAAAACAACAGGCCTGTTAGGATTAGCTGGTTCTTGAGAGTGGTGTTTCAGGAGGGGGCTGAAAGAGTCCCGCCAAAGCTCTGCTTTTCTCAAGACACAGGCAATACGCACTCTACCAGCACCTGGCTCAGTACTCCTGATTTAATTCTGAGATCCATGATTAAGTCCATAGTTTTAACTAGAGCTGTCAGTATCAGACAGAGAGATTCTAATGTCAGTTTTGCCATAGTCATGTGGTACCAGCCTTTAGGCCTCTGTTCATTCAAATCATTACTCAATATTGAGAAAAATAATAAATTAATGAAGTTATATGTGCTTCCTCCTGAAAGGAGTATAAATTCAATTCCAAAGTTATACTTAAACCCAGCCTCAGCAATTTAGCATGGCCTTAAGGAACTTAGTAAGACTCTGTCTCTAACTAAAACATAAAAAGGGCTAGGGATGTGGCTCAGTGGTTAAATGCCCCTGGATTCAATCTCTGGTGAAAAAAAAAAAAAAAAAAGTTTTCTACTACTGAGCTACATTTCCTGTCACTATAGAGGGATATTGAAACTGTCTATTAAAATAAACAACTAATATAATAGACTTTGTCTTTCTATGCTAAATAAAGTCTGGATTAAACTCCCTGCAATAGGACTTTGCTTGCTCAGATCTTCAGAAGCCAACCTTGATTTGAGATAGCTTTGATTCCTCTAAAACACTGAACTCTCTGCCCACACACCCTACTTCTGCCATCTCTCCTCTGTGCCACTGCACACCTATCAATCCACCATTCACTCCGTCCCTCCTTCAGTCACATCTGCTCTGGGCTCTCTGCCTGACATATGCCCAAAACATAGAGCGATCCAAGTGTTAGGATCTGCAATCTGACAAGATTTTACTTGTCCTGTCATGAAACTCAAAACATTCATGTCTGCCACTTAAAAATGAGAACTTGGAAAATGCAACAAAGATGATTTGCTCTCCCTTATCACCCTCTGCCCCCACACCCCCTAAAATGTCAGAAACATTTTGCTATGTCAACAACTTAGAAGGAATATTGTTTCCCTGGAATGAGATCCACCCACCCTGGTTTCAGAGATGGAAGTTTTGAAATGGTTATGTTAACTACATAGTAAATGACACAAATACAGCCATGGAATTCACTGGAAAGCCAATTCAGACGTTTTCTCAGGAATGAATGTAATCAAAATTCTTACTAACAAAAATATACACACTCATTTCCATTCCTGAAATTTAAATGAGATGAACAGTGGGCAGAACAAGACTACAAACAACCTACATGTGTATTCTCCAGTATTACAGAATATCCCTGAAAAAATATAATTAATTATTCTTTGAGTATTTAGAAGTTTTTGTTTTTCTAAGTTGATTAATTTACTTTAATTAGGTATACGTGACAGCAGACTGCATTTTGATTCATTGTACACAATTCCTGTACAACTTTACGTTTCTGTGGTTGTACACGATATAGCGTAACATCATATGTGCAGTCATACCTGTACCTAGGGTAATGATGTCCATCTCAGTCCACCATCTTTGCTGTCCCCATGTACCCTTCCTACCCACCCTACCCTTTGCTCAAAGTTCCTCCATTTTTCCCATGCCTCTCCCCTCCACATTATTTTAATTAGATATTAATTACTTTGCTTAGCATGATATTCTCCAACTCCGTCCATTTACCTGCAAATGCCATAATTTTATTCTTTTTTAATGCTGAGTAACATTCCATTGTGTATAGATACCACAGTTCCTTTATCTATTCATCTATTAAAGGGCATCTTCCACATTTGCTTCCATAGTTTAGCTACTGTGAATTGAGCTGCTATGAATATTTAGAAGTTTTGACTCAGAATTTATTCTGTATCTCTTAAGTAAAGTGAGTTAATTTCCAAATTAGTATGAAATAGTAGTCATGAAAACCTTGAATTTGCCAGGTACTGTGGTGTACACTTGTAATCCCAGCTACTAGGGAGGCTGAGGCATAAGGATTGCAAATTCAAGGCTAGCCTCAGCAACTTAGTAAAACCCTGTTACAAAAAAAAAAAAAAAAAATAACGGCTGAGTGTGGTGGTACATGCCTGTAATCCCAGAGGCTTGGGAGGCTGAGGCAGGAGGACTGCATATTCAAAGCTAGCCTCAGCAATTTAGCAAGGTCTTAATGAACTTAGCAAGACCCGGTCTCTAACTAAAATATAAAAGGGGTTGGGGATGAGGCTCAGTGGTTAAACGCCCCTGGATTCAATCTCTGGTGCAGAAACAAAGCAAAACAAACAAAAAATCCAACCCTTGAATTTAATTATTTATTTTTTCATTTTCCAGATAGTTGTTTACTAACTTTGTTTATAGTAATATTCAGATGCCTTCATGATGCTTTGCCAGAGATGCCAGATCCACTTATAGAAGTTTTGTTGCTAAGACGTTATTTGATCTATCTTTTGTTGTTGCTTATATGCCTTCTTCAGATTTTTGAGACATAAAACTGAGTTCTTCATTCAATTCTAAACTTATATTTAATAATCTTCCTTTGCCCTTTTTTGTATAGAGTAACTCAAACTGGGAATTTTCCTTTTTTTGAAAGGAAAAAAAAACCCCTGAAAACAGAACATTTAGTGACAGCATCACCTTGTTGGTATCTGTTCAAGTGGCAAAGAGATTATAAAAATTTCTCATATATAGTAAGTCTTTTCATGCTGTATTTTAGTGTTTAGCTTCAAATTTTCAAGGCACTTACAATAATAGGTCTGGTTCACTGGCTTTGCATATTTATTTGGATCTTATTCTTAAAAAAGCCTATTCATGTTTAGTTCATTTTTTTCTATTAGATTCGGCTTTATTTTGGAGAAGCTGGATTAGTAGACCTAAAAACAGTCATTTTTTTTTCAGGAAAAGTTGTAAGGTAAGTTAAACCTACCTTAACACATGTTTTCTCAAATGCACAATTCATACTCCACCAAATGAGTTAACTGAATATCCTGTTATGGGGTAATTTATAGACCAGTGAGATTGCTGTGCCCTTTCCTATATTCCTGGGTCACAGCCCCTGCTTTCTGAGAGACAGGCTGGTTATGTTTAGCAGTGAAGTGACTTTGGGAGACTGGGATGAGTTGTTGAGGCCAAGTTGGGTCTACACAACCACTCACAGCTCCAGCAGGTTGCTGATCTGGTGGAGCAAAGACCCAAGTATTGCCAGATCTTCCAACTTACAAGGATTCCAGACTTTCATATAAAATCTCTCATTTTTAAATGATGACAACTAAACAATTTTAAATCATTTTTCAGAACATGTTCAAACCAAAACAACAATGTCTATAGTTCTGTAGACCACCTGTTGAGTACTGCCCTACTTGCAGTTAAAAAAAAAAAAAAGAAAGAAAAAAAGTATTTTTATAATGTCCACTCAAGTCTATGTTTCTTGCAGAAAGCATTAGTATGTTTCCCTTTTATTGATGACATTTCTCTCTTTCCTTTTTCCAGGCTATGTGCTATCTCTGGTCTGTCAGAACTCCTCCCAGTCTTGGTGTGAGATCCCAAATGTGTCGCAGCTGCAAGCTTCTTCTATCCTTTATGGAAACCTGAATTCCAGCACAACCAACTGGAGCATTTCAGCAAATGTAGAAAACAAATACAATCTTTATGTGGGCTTGCTACTGGCCATATGTTCTAGCATTTTTATTGGCTCTAGCTTCATTTTGAAAAAGAAGGGACTCTTGCAACTGGCCAATAAGGGTGTTACTAGAGCAGGTAAGGAACACATGCAAATAATGAATTCAAGTTTCTAATTACAGAAATAATTCCATCGTGAGACCACAATGCTATAGTCATGATCATTGATTCCGTTTATCTAAGCCTGTGTGTCCTTGATTGAGCCAGCTGTCTCCCTGACAGTCTCTGACCTCCTACATAGAGTGGCTCCTGTTACCTCTCCAGCTTCTTCCTGTGCCACCCTCCCACTCTTCTTTCACATTCTTGGAATAGACCAGCCTCTTTCCCACCCTGAGGTCTTTTTCACTGGTCTGGAACTCTCTGCTTCCTGCCCACTGAGCTGACTCACCCTCCAGACTTTGGCTTGAATTTCACTACCCGGGAAAGGCCATCCTGGACCATCCTGTCTGGGAAGGTCTCCCCACCTGCATCCCCTGCTGCTCTCCATCATTGCATAACAGTTTCCTTTCTTGGAGTTATGTGTGTATTGTTTATTTACTTATTGTTAAGAGGATTACTTGTTTATTGGTGGTAGAGAGGAACAAGAGAGGAACCTTTCTTTGCACAACATTTTTGATACCTGATAAATATTTCTTCATCTCTGAATGGACAGCAATAGAATTAGTCCACCATTTATACTGACATTTCAGATACTAAATAAGCACAACCGGACTATCCTTTAAGTCATGAATCTTCTATTCCTTTTCATCAAATGTAAGTCCTAAATTAAATATTTTTCTAAGGTCCAAATGGAAAAATAAATTAGTACAAATTATGCAAACAAGTTTCTGAAACAGTACTATTGAGAGTGATATTTGTACCTTCAGAAAACAAAAACATACTATATTAGTATATAAAACAATTTAGTATTAGCATTAAAATAGATACAGTAATAAAAGATTATTGAAAATTTACAGGTGGACTCAATTACATATCAAATTCTAATATATGATTTTTAAAAGTGACATTTCCAACAAGTAAGCACAATGAATTATTAAATTAAGAATATTCACATTAAGTGGAAAAAAGTAGAGGAGAAAAATGTGAGAGGTCTACTTTATACTATTCAGCAAAATAAATTCCAGATCATTTAGGGTTAAATTTAAAATAAAATAATTTTTTGAAAACCTAAAAGAAGTCCTTTTTATAAGCATAAAAATGACAAAGAACCTATTTTATGTAAAGGAAGAGATTTTCTGGTTTGGAAAAAAAAAAAAAAAGAAAGAAAAAGAAAAAAGTACATGTGCACACAGTGAAAATACCATAGCTGAAACTCCAGAGCAAATGATTTATCAATAAGGGGGAATTACGAAATTATTGACAAAAAGTAGTTAGGTTCTATAATATAAAAACAGTGACTTGCAGTCAACAAGAAAATTAGTGCCCTAACAGAAAATAGGCAAAGCTCATAGACGGGAAACACAAAATCAGAAATGCAAATGAAAACAGAAGAAATGTGAATTGTCAATAAACATACATAAGTAAATATTATTTTACTAGGACCCAGAAGATACTAACTATGCAAATAAGGTTCAATATTGTAAGATGATTCTAATTTTTTCATTTGCGAATTTTGTAAGGAGAAAATTCTAAATAACCATGGTTAAACTGCTTTTGCAATTTATAGCATACATGTCCTATTGTTTAATTATAACAAAGTCATCAAGGTCCAATTCAGGGAGTTAAGCAAATTAAAATTGAGAAAATCCCATTTTCTATAGCAAACATACAACAGTGCCTTCAGGTTGCAGGAAGGTGATTGAATTCTTGAGGACAGTTGTTTGTCCTTTTATATAGCTTTAGACAGAAGCTCAACTTCATTATGCTAAGGTAAAGAATAAGTGGAGTCCATCTGCCTAATGCTTGTTTCCTTTTATGGACTGATCCAAACTTCAAAAGCTTTCATGTCAAGCATCCTCTTCCTCAAAAGGTAACCAGCGTCATTTACAATTTAGGATTTTTTGTTTTAAATTTAAACCATGGCCAAAAAAAAAAAAATATTCAGAGTATATCACATTTAATGTCCATACCTCTGCCTGAGATAAATGCAATGGACCTGATGACTAAAATTTCCTACCAAAACAAACAAACAACAACAACAAAAAAAGCTTTCTGTAGAAATAAAAAATGAAGTGACATAATGGAAAGCTTCAAAAGATCTTTGGAAATGACCAAGTTAGTAAGCTCAAAGATTTTTAGATTGTGACTTTTTCAACAGTAATCGAGTGTCTTTACCCATTGTCAATTGTTCTACCCTTTTTTTCTCTAATTTGGAACCTAATTTTTATTTTTGGTGTTTTTCCTAGGACAAGGTGGACATTCTTACCTCAAGGAATGGGTGTGGTGGGCAGGATTACTATCAAGTAAGTTCTTAAGGAGAGAATCGTGTTTACTTGTAAAATGATAAATCCATTACATGGAATTTTTCAAAATTAATTTTTCTTCCTGACAAGGATGGAATTTACGCCTAAAAGTTATGTGTGGTGTAACGTATTACCTTATACCGAATAGTAATAACAACAACCATTATTGTTACGATGTGTGTATCTATGTGTGTAATATATGGATTATTTTTTACTCACCACCCCCTCCTCTCAATACTGTTCTGGAACACAAAGGGGAAAGTTGATATTTGAAATATTAATATAAGCTCACAAATTTCTGATTTATTTTTTTTCATGCAAAGTGAGAAAGGTGCTTTCCTTTCATATTTTCCCAGCTCCTTATGTGAATCCATGACTATCCTAGCTGCATATTTCTCAGGAATGGGTACATTTTCCTTGCAAGGACCAAACATGGATAAATTAAGGGATCCTTTGTTGACACTGGAAAAAAATGGGGGAGAAGATGAAAGTGGTTGGCACAACTTCTCCCAGACTTGCTTTCAGGATCAAAGGAGACTTGGCAGCTGTGAAGGCGCTTTCTAAATGCTAATGTAATGTCTTCACAGAAGGAAGACTTGTCCCCCTCCACCCCTTCCCCTGTTTCACCCTTGCTCTTGCCTTCTCTGAAATTTCTTAAATCCCAAGCTTGAAACCTCCAAAGAAAGGACACTATGAATGGTAGCTTCACACCACTCACTAATCACTTTCTTCTGCAGTCAGAAGTCTTCATGGTTCCCTATATTTCCCCAAACCAAGTAACACGTTTCAGTATTTCATTATTTGCAAGATCCTTATAAGAAGGAACTTGGGTCCATTTCCTTAAAAAGGGGTGGAGGCGTGGAATCCAAAAGGTGATGAATAAAACATATTTAAGTTTGTGTAGCCATTTTGGTATTTTTTTTGGGGGGGGGCGGTTACCAGAGATTGAACTAAGGGGCACTCAGCCACTGAGCCACCTCCCCAGCCCTATTTTGTATTTTATTTAGAGACAGATTCTCACTGAGTTGCTTAGCACTTTGCTTTTGCTGAGGATGGCTTTGAACTCCCCATCCTCCTGCCTCATCTTCCCAAGCCACTGGGATTACAGGCATGCCACCCTTTTGGTTTTTAAGATACTTGCCCATCCATTTCCTTACTTTAGTTGAATCAAAGTTAACAAGGACTATACTGAGAAGATTCCAGGTAGATATGTGAACGATTCTCTTGTTTTTCTTTCTTGCATCTCCTCAGCCTGTACTCACACTTTAGAATGAGAATAGAAGGTGACTATTTTATGGCTGCATTTACTATTGCACTCTCACAATGTAAAAACGTTGATGCTGGTATTAAGAGAGAAAAGTATACATTAGAGATTGCATCTAGTGACAAACGTGGTACCTTAATCATGGGGTCAATGTTTTCCTGGAATTCTGTCCATAAAGATGAGAAAATAAGCAATTTAAAGTATTCTAAAAAAGTTTAGTGTTCTGAGAAAAATGCCATAATTTGTTTTTTGCTAGAATAGTCTTCTAATTGCTCTGTAACTTTAGAGTTTCTTATAGCGCTTTCTTAATGCTGGGTCCTCCTTTAGGTTGGGGGAAGGAGTGGGAAGGGTTAGCAAAGCAGCCAAAGAAAGGGAAAAAGAAAACGTAGGCACTCGCACTAGTCTGCAGTAGTGTTATTTTATCTCTCCACAACAACCATTTGCTTGGTGTCGTTTGCCAGCATGAAATACTACATTCTCTGGGCAAGTGTCCAGTTATGATCTGTGAGAATAACTTGGCTCCAATACAAGAGCCTAGCTCTAGGAGGGATTTCCCTCACTCCAGGAATTGTTTGCACCACACTGCCTCATGGAAGTGTAGAGTTCCTCAGATAAGGAAAAGATGACATTCTGGAGCACTTCCTTAGGACTTTAAAACAGCTGCTTGGATCTTCCTGAGCTACTGAGCTTCTGTTACTTGCTACAGATCATCTGTAATTCAAGATGCCTGATGTCATAGGCCTGGGGTAGGGATTTCTTAGCTCTCCCCTATGTTGACCCTAGCTCTTCACAAAGCCTTCTAATTTTACAGATTGTTGTTGTCATTGTTGTTCTTAATTTGCCACAAAGAGATATTCAAGAATGTCAAGTAGATGTTCTTGAGCAAATGGAATAACTCTCAGATTATTCCAAAGCCACCACTATTAGATTTCATCAGAGTGACCAAATATGTTTTCAGGACTGAAATAACTAAAATTAATTCTACTTAAAATCATTTGGAATATGTATTCATTTGTCACCAGTAGTAGAGTTTATATCACCAGGTATATTGAGTTTATCTGACTCCCTTAATATTAATCTTTTCCCACTGTCTATAAAAAAATGAAATCATTTGTTTTAGCTAGATCTTTGAGTGTCTTTGAGCTGAAAGTCCACTGTTTTGTGAGAGTCATTTGTTTTTCTCTTCTGATAAATAAATTCATCTCATATATCAATACTTCAACTTGCTTTCTAGTGGGAGCAGGAGAGGCTGCAAATTTTGCAGCTTACGCATTTGCACCTGCCACCTTGGTCACCCCACTGGGAGCTCTGAGTGTTCTTATAAGGTAGGTGAGCAATAAGGAGCTTGGCTTCTATAGGTATTTTAATAACATGGTCCACTTAAACCATAAGAAACATTGCTGAATACACCTCAAAAAGAAAAAAAAAAAAAGATTAGACTAACCTGGGCTCTGAAAGCATAAAAGACTCAAAATAATTTCTGGGGCCCCAGGGAAGCTTTGAACAAGTCACTTAATCTTAGTTTCCTCATTTGTAAAATATGGATTAAATAAATGATTTTTCTTGGACTATGGATGTAGTTGAAAGTAGAACACTGTGCAAGGCCTTGGATTTGATTCCCATCACCAGGGAAAAAGCATTCTTGCCTAAAAAAAAAAAAGCAATCACAAATTAAATTGAGAAGACTCCAAAAAACAGGAAGAAATAGATTATCATATTGTTATTTAAAAAAAAAACATGAGAGAGTAAGCTTGCTTTGTGATGATTCAGTGAAGCCTAACAGAGTTTTGTATTTGTCTACTCTTTTAACTCTGACCTGAATACATTTACAGAGTCCTTTTAATCCTTTCTGTTGTCATAGTGGTGAATGACTATAGAGGACTTTAAAAGGCATAGCATTTGGGCATAGCATAGACCTTTAAAAGGCATAGCATTCTCACTAAAATGCTGTGTTGTCTGCTTTATACTTCTGTTTGCAAACCTGGTATATTCTTTTAGTGCTGTTAACAGGAATTATTTTTATCTTTTGTAGTGTGTGGATCTGATGTTTCTAAGGTGATCTGTATTATGATCCCAAATGAATGGATCCAGTGAGCCCATACACTCTTTTATTTCATAACTATCATTTCGTTTTCATTCATTATCAACATTTACTATAAAATTTATGATTTGGCCTCACCATTTATCTTCACCGTCTTTAATGATTGTTATGACAACTAAGAGTTAATACACATAAAGCACTTAAAACACTGGTCTGATGTTTTCACTGGGGTTGCAGTCCCACAAGTGGCCACATGAGGGAGACTCTAGGCAATCCACAGGCTTGGGAGAAGATGGGCACCATTAATTTCATTTGTGCAAGTGCCAGAGCGTCAGAGGAAGGAGACTGATATGCTGAAGCCCCCATTAGACCTACTGGTGGAGCAACAGGATGGCATACTCTAATATCATCATGGTAGTGCCAATCTGAAGCTTCCTGAGGTCAAGGCACTAATAACAATTAAAGCATTGAGAGTATTGTCTGGGTGAAAGTGCTAAGGTAGTAGCAGGTAATAAGGAAGTATTTCAATATTTTTATGATCTCCATGGTTGTACTAGTGCTTACTAGCTACATATCAGCTCTAAGCAGAGTAACTCTTCTTAGTATATATCCTTCTTTGAAATTTTCATGGGCACACATAATCTAAGTGTACTGGTTGAGTCCAAAAATCCAGAATCCACAATGCTCCAGAATTAGAAACTTTTCAAGCATGGACATGATGCCACAAGTGGAAAATTCCACATGTGACCTCATCAGATGGGTTGCAGTAAAAATGTAGGCACACCCAAAATATTGTATAAAATTCCCTCCAGCCTATGCACACTAGATACATATGGAACACAAATGAATTTTATGTTTAGATTTGGGTCTCCTCCCCCAAGAGATCTCATTTCATATATGCAAGATTCCAAAATATGGAAATAAGTAGAATTGGAAGCATTTCTAATCTTAAGTATTTCAGATAGGGATAGTCAATCTGTATCGTGCCAGTAAGACATAAAAGACCTTTGGCTTTGCTTGGCTTTACAGGAGATGTTACAATTGAAAATGAATTGATCGGAACTCTTAGAAGGTCAGGGATGTTGACAGGAATATAAAAGTCTGTGATAACTCTTCAGATATAAAAGCAACAAAGCAGAATTAATTAACCATCACTTCTGAGTTTAAAACTAACTCAGATTTTTCAGTGTCATTTAGTATGTTTCAAGCCAATTTACTGGAATACAGAGTGGCAGGTACTGACTGGAATTCTGAGCTACTATAGAATCAAAAGGCAATTCAACTATAGTGATTTGCTTTTTTCTCTCCCAACAGTGCCATCTTGTCTTCCTATTTTTTAAATGAGCATTTGAACATTCATGGGAAAATGGGCTGCATATTAAGTATATTGGGGTCAACTGTGATGGTTATCCATGCCCCACAAGAAGAGGAAGTCACTTCTTTGCATGAAATGGAAATGAAATTGAGAGATCCAGGTCTGTGATTCAGCATAAAGAAACACTTAAAGTCTGCTCCCTTTTCCTTCTTCATCAAATGATATTTATAACAATATTATAGTAGGCTTCCTACAAGTCTTCATGTGGGTTGTGAAATACAAAAAATTTTGCTTGTTACAAGTCTTCTGAAAGGAACACAGTTTATTTTTGTATTCATTCTTCCCCCTCTATACAATGAAAAAGAGAGAGGAAGAGTAGGGGCAAAAGATTTATCATTAAACTCAAAGTTTTGCCATTTCTTGCCCATATAAAAATCAAAGGGACAATACTTGCCCTATCTCACAGTGTTATCGGTGAGATTCAAATGATATATTTGTAAAAGTCCTTTATAAAATAATGTGAATAATGCAATTTGATGCTACTTTTAATTTAATCTCACTTCTATTTCTAAAATATCTATGCTCTCAAATTCAGGACTAACAAGAAAGATCATGATTCTGTTAACATTTTCTGAAGTCTAATTCTGTTCTCTTTCTGACAGGATTTGTTTCCTTTGCTGTGATCATAACTGTGATCTCCTTGGTGCTGATTTTGATTGTGGCCCCCAGGAAAGGACAGACCAACATATTGGTCTATATATCAATCTGTTCTTTGATTGGAGCATTTTCAGTTTCTTCTGTCAAGGGCCTGGGAATTGCCATTAAGGAACTACTAGAGTGGAAGCCAGTTTACAAGAATCCCCTGGTCTTTGTTTTGCTGGCTGTACTTGTGCTCTCAGTAACTACACAGATTAACTATCTCAACAAAGCACTGGATACTTTTAATACGTCTCTGGTGACCCCCATCTATTATGTCTTCTTCACCTCCATGGTAGTGACTTGCTCTGCCATCTTATTCCAGGAGTGGTATGGTATGAATGCTGGAGATGTCATCGGGACCCTCAGTGGGTTCTTCACCATTATCAATGGCATTTTCCTTCTACATGCTTTTAAAAATACTGACATTACCTGGAGTGAACTGACATCCTCTGCTAAGAAAGACATCCTTTCTCCAAATGGCAACGAGAACAGTTATGTTTTACTAGAGAACTTAGAAAGTTTGACCCCAGGATATGATGATGATGTCACCTTATTTAGCAGGACTGAAGATCAGAGTCCCCATAAAGCCTGAATTGTAACTAACATTAGATACTCGAAGAAGAGAAAGAAGATTTATTCTCGAAAGGACTTCAGGGAAAGTTAGTGTTTTTAAAGTTTGGTACCTTAGATCTAAGTCCAAGTTCCATGAAATTTGAAAGTCAAGACCTGATATTCCTCCCAAGGATTTCTGCATGTTTTCACTGCTGAAAACTTTGAAATATCCCTTAAGCCTAAAAGAAGTCCAGGAGTTATATTTGTCTCATAATAATCTTTTTCTTCTGGTCACAATGGATTTGACTCTGCCAGGTGGCTCTTCACTTCTCTGGTAACTATTCTTAGATTCATAGTAATTCATAAAGCTAACTATGTTCTAATAAACAGAGTACCAATCACCAGGCATTGATGAGTCATAATCTCAAATTATTAAAACTGAGAAGAGAGAACTCTTGTGTTCTGAGCTCCCTTCTGCAACTTCCTTCTTTTAAAACTAGAGAGTAAATGGGCAAAGGGTTAAAGAAAAAAAAGAGGCCTGCTTTGGACTCCATTCCTTCCTAAGCTAAAATGTACAAAACACCCTCACTCCCATGAAGGGTTTATGAATTATAATATTTTTCCAAATATCATATGACTTCATTACCAATTACAGAGGGAAGACTATAGGAAGGAAGAGAACACTTGACCTTTGGAAAAGGAAACACAAGTTTTATTCTTTTTTCATAAAAACACAGAAATGATTGTTGCCATAGGTTCTTTTAACAGAGACCCTGATGACATAAGACAAAATAGACTTTCTGTAGAAGTAAAAGTAAATCAGCTTTGGAGTGACTTATATTCATTTCATTTCTTTCTTTAATCATTTTCCCAAAGGTTATATTTCTTATTGACAAAGAGTTTTTTTTGTAAAATCTATATTATTTTAGGATTATACTGTGCTTTTTTTTTTTACTAACGTTTTATCCCTAAAAGGCAAGTTTTCCATAGACTGTTTTAAAACAACTAGAAAAATCTTTTTGAAAAATTAGAAGAAATCATGCTAATGATTCTCTTGAAATTTTACTTTCACCCTTAATAAGGAAATTGTAATCAGTTACTAACTTCTCAAAATAGACCTATCCTACCACAACAAGTGCCGGACTTTTTCTGCTAAATTCATCCTATGTTTTCCATGCGGCTTGTTGATGGAGTTAGAGAAGATAATGCTAAGTGAAGTTAGCCAATCCCAAAAAAACAAATGCCGAATGTTTTCTTTGATATAAGGAAACTGATTCATATTGGGATAGGGAGGGGGAGCATGGGAGGAATAGATGAATTCTAGATAGGGCAGAGGGATGGGAGGGGAAGGGAGGGGGCATGGGGTAATTAATGATGGTGGAATGTGATGGTCATTACAAAGTACATGTATGAGGACATGAATTGGTGTGAACGTACTATGTATACAACCAGAGATATGAAAAATTGAGCTCTATATATGTAGTAAGAGTTGTAATGCATTCCACTATTATATATAAATAAATAAGAAACAGTAAAAAAAAAGAAAGAAAAGCATTTGGGGAGAGCAGGAGAGAGAGTGAACTTCCTTGAAAATTATGAAGACCTCAGAGGCTACTACAGGGAATATCTTCTGCATATTAAAACTTCCATACAATTTTTCTGTCTCATTCCAGATTCTAGACAAAAATAAGTTTTTGGTTGTCATTCGTGTTTATAGACAGATTTCCCCTCACTCTTGATTTACTGAAAAGACATTACCTATCTTAGTTCTAGACTAAACTTATTTCTCTGAAAACACAACAAAAATCTTGATCAAAAAGTTGCATTTGAAAAGAAAATTTTAGGTTGACTGGATTTTTTTTTTCTGCCCTAACATCAAACATTATCAGTTTTGTTTTTCGTTTTTGAGCCAGCTCAAGCATACCCAGGGTAATAATAGTAACCTGTGCTTTTCAGAATTCTATTAAACTGACTTCAGCATTTCCACAGTTCTGCTGAACTGTGACTGACATTCACTGTGATGACCTGGGATGACTGCAAAGTCTTAAAATGCTTTAGAGTTTTCAACGTAGTTTAGTGTTGAGCACAACTCCAGGCGTTCTAAATTTTTGAAAATTCATGGGTTGATACCTCAGGCTAAATGTGTTTACTCTGTGCATTGCTGGTTTGCTTTACCTGTACATCAGCTATATAAGCTATGAACACAGTTTGTATGAAAAGTATCTTCAGACAAGGTAATATGTGAAAAAATTGTAGAAATTCTTTTAGCATTCTTCTTTTTAGTATTGAAAACTTTATTGGTTTCTCCAGGACACCTTCTTGGTGAGGAAATTAATAGCATTTTTCTTGACATTTAACCCGAGGCTGTGGTGTTACTCCACTCTAATGAATTTAAGTTTCAGACATTTACCAAATGTCACCTGTTACTTGACCACTTCAATGCCAATTCTGCCCTTGGTACATTGTGCCAAGGTCAAAAGTCCCTGTAACACAGGGATCCACGTGTACCTGGATTGAAAAATGAACTGGTGTCGACATAAATGCCCAGGAGAAAGACTGAGAACAATTTCATGTGTTGAGTATGTGGAGAAACAATGAACTATTTGAAAACTTCTCTTTATAAAAATCAATGGTGGGCATATGCACTAAAAAACATTAAAATGTTGCTGCAGATCTAACACAAAAATTGATTTCTTTCCCAAAATAAGAAGATATATCTATGGAAGAGTAAAATGCTGGATTCCTATATTAATACTATATTATTCTTCTATAGTTGTTTTATATATGTATGTATTTCAATAGATATGTTTTAATTGTCATCATATAGATATCTTAGGATTTATTATATGAATATTAGTACATGTGTTGTTAAGGATTATAAAGTTAGGTGAGCACAAGACAAATTGAAAGCTTTTCCTAGTTCTGTAAGTTAAGGGTTTTATTTTGACTTCTAATTGACTCTTATGTCAATGGTTAATGATTTTATTTTTAGTTCAGACTACAGAATGTTTATAAAATCCTTTAGATTTAGCAACATGAAATCAAGTTAACACCTATTTTTAAAACTATTAAGCCAAATACATGGAAAGCACTTGTATCATGTCCAATATATAATAGGCACTTGAGAAAATTCAGTTCTCTTTGAATCAAAATTTTAATTCTCACAGTCTTGTTATTAGAGAGGTAAGGAACACTGAATGCCAGTTGTTATAAATCCCTTATCTTTTCTCAATATATGTCACATTAACTCACTTTAAGTACAAGTGAAAGTACATTCCAGCATTATACTATCTCAATACCAGTAAAAAATTAACCCAACAAAACATTTTATTTTTATTAATAAACACCAGTAAACTGAACTAAATGCTATTTTTAACCTTCCAACAAAGCTTTGTGAAAAAATAATTTGAGTATATATGAAATGTCCTCATATATTTTACATAAATTATGTTCATGAAATGGTATATTTTTAAATGTTTATAAATAATGTTTATTTTAGGAAGTTTATACCTTTTAAATGGTTATGTATATTTTTCACTTGTAATAAAATAATGTGGTTTAATTATGCTTTTTAGAGTTTATAGACGGTACACATATGTAATGGCAAAGATATCCTTGTTTTGAAATTAAAAGAAAGTTCCACAGTTAAAAGAAAGCCTGCACTGATGTTTATTTTACCTTTTCACTTTCCTCAATATTGAAATTTGTTTTTAGAAGGCTGTTTACAAAACTGTCTCCTGTGGGACAATAGCTTTGGCACCTCAACAAAAGAAACTGTCTTATCCTTCAGTGATTTTATTGAATCAGACAGGAGTTGAAAGTAGTCAATATGATGAAATCTCCCCTCAGTTCAATAACAGTTTCTTTTTTAAAAAAGAAAATACAACCATCTACAGGGGTTGATTCCAGAACCCCTTGCAGATACCAAAACCTGCAGATGATCAAGTCCTTTATTTATAATGGTGTAGTATTTGCATATAACCTGAGCACCTCTGGATGACTTGTACCTAACACAATAAACATGCCATGTAAATAGTTTTCCCTGTTTTGGCCTGAATGCATGTTTGAGAACAACTTCCTCCTTTGATTCCAGTTCAGAGAAATGAATTGTCTAGTACAAGAATTATTTATCTCATCACTATTTCATAAACATGGAAACCTACTGTGCTATTCCTTGAATCAGTAATTAGAATGAGGTCCAACACCCAAACCTCCAGCACCCCAATGGCTGAGTCAATGGAATAAGACCTATGTGAGAAGGGCTTGGTGGGGGCTGCTGTGTATAAGAATAAAGCATCCACAGCCGAGTCAGAACTAAGGACAGGCTTCCTAAGCAAGTTAGGTTGGTACCAAACACATGAATGTCCTGACTATAGCTTAAAGGAAGCCATTAAGAGGTATGCTTGGGTCACAAAGATTCTTAAGTTTTCCTTTTAACAAAAGAGCAATATTTTTTTTTTCTGCCAATTGAAAACTTTGGTTGGGGGTGGGGGGAAACAGCTGAGAGAACTGACTCCCTGAGCCTTTTCTCACTTCAGTTCACAACTCATGAAGAAGTTTTCTTCTTGAGGGGAATTGAATCTCTCTATAAATTCATGTAGGAGAGAACTTTGATGTAGCATGGATCTTCCAAGGTAGTTGAGGGAAAGAGCATTCCCAGATCTCTGGAAGCCAGGCTCTTCTGAGGAGCCTCCACTTTACCATCTACTCCAGGACCCTCAGTTTCCAACTGCCCCAGGTGAATGTCTAGCATCAGGAGACAAAGTCTCACACCAGCTTTCCCCATGGGACATCCACTAGTCCACAGTGAGGTCTTCTGCTCAGCAGCCAGGTATAGGCCCCAGCAACCTCTTGATTGGGGGAAACAGAAAGGCTAGTTTGGTAGTGGAGGTAGAGGAGCCATTTCTCTTTCCAGAATTCCCTGCCACACTCTGGTCCCATGATCCAGCCAGTAACTCCCGATTGTCAGTAAATGGCACACAGCTAAACCAAAAAGTTTGTGGACTGCTCTGAGAATGCTTTCTGGAGGTACTTACCAAC